CTGCTTGTATTGACTGTCACCACCTCTGCAGGGGAGCAGAATTCACATATTGTGCACTATGTGGTTGTTACTAGTAACTCTGAGTAAGGTAATTTCTTGTAAGCTGAAGATTCAAGATACATTTTGCAACATATTCAGCAGCCCTCAGGAGTTGGGTGTGAGAGCAGAGGTTGCCCACTGGTCTTCCATTCCTGGAATAAGAATGAAGCTCCTAGTACCATAGAGAAGCTCCCAGGTCACCAAGGACACTGGCTGTGGTTATGAACATGCCCTTTAGAGTCAGACTCCAAAGGGTGCATCCTTGCTCTGCCTCCTGCTTTGTGATCTTTAAAGTGATATAATGTACCTATTGCTCAGTTTCCTCATAAGTGAAAATATAGGGCGGGCTATATGAGGAACGTAAAACATGGGGTCGGTGTAAGGATTAAATGAACTAGAAGACCAATTCCTGGGCATATAGCAAATGCACAGTCTAAATAGGCTACTATGAATTATGTACCCCTTCTCCTTTGATTTCAGAGTGACAGCCAGTATTTCTGGTGCTATTTTTGTATAAGAGAAAACCTGCTCCAGGGAGTGACTTGGTCACGTCACACTGTTGGTGGCATTACCAGAAGCAAGAGTGACTCACTCTAAATCCTGCATGGTTCCTCTGGGCCCCTTCTTGTACCTTGCACACAGTTACTTCTCTCCTTCCTTCCTCCCTCCTAGGTTCACAGTCCAGCTTGGATGAGGTGATACAAAGTCTTGCTGCTGCTAACTCGGTCCAGGTCAAGAGAACACAGTGCATTCTGTACATGGTACCTCAGACAGCAAGGAAACTGGTGCCTTTCCTGGTGGATATGAAGAACTTACGTCCTGAATCTGGGGAACCCAAGGCCATGTGAGTGTGGTTAAAGATGCTCTCTCTGCACTGCTCTCTTGTCACTAGAGTATCTTCCAACCTCCTTCCCTGCGTTCGCTCTCACCTCCCAGAGTCCCTCTCTTGGATGATCACCTGCTTAAAAGCCACCATTTCTCACCTCATCTTGAACAAAATGCAAACACTTTATAGACCCCATAAGACCTG